CCTGTAATAGACTCTTAAGGCTTTCTCTCGTTCCGTGATTTTTCTCGAAATACGCGGCTCTCAACCAAATGGACTTCTTGTAGGGAAATGTCTTAATCGCGTGACCATATATAGCTCGGGCGCATTCGAAAGCATCCTGGTTCGCAAAATTCTCGGCGTCTTCGAGCCACGTGTGCTTCCGGTCCTCGTCATCGATGCCATACCCGATGACAGCCCTCACAATCGATTGACACGTCTGAACAGATCCCGACTTTTCCGTTTCCATCGCATCCTTAAGCCATTGCTCGCGATTTATTTCGACGCCCGTAGCCGTGAACGAAGTGATCGCTCTGTCGATGATTTTCTGAACCATAGGTGTCTTTCCCTGCGCTTCTTCTAGTTTGGCGGCTGTTATCCAAATCTGTCGATCGGTCGGAATGTTTTCTCGGGCTTTATTCAGTACTCTCTGTGCGTTATCGTAGGTCTCGAGTCTCGCGAGTGCGAGCCATAGCTCAACACTAGTGGGACAGCACTCGACCGCTCGACTCAATAGTATGCGCGCGTCTTCGGGCTCTTCGAGTTCGACCGCCTCTTTCCACAATCGGACCGAATTCGGGATGTGTTCCAAAGCCTTACGGAATATCTTTTTCTTGGCTTTCATTTCCTGCTCTAATTCCGAGGCTTTAATCCAAAGTCGAACGGAAGTCGGTATTTGACGGACGGCCTGAGCTATCACTGACTTCGCTAAGTCTGCCGGTTGGAGACGCGCCGCCTCTATCCACACGTCTTCAGAGTTGGGACACATCTCACAGCCTTTCATCACTAGATTACGAGCCGTTTGTAATTTTCCGGTCACTTCTTCGAGTCGAGCCGAAGCTATCCAAGCGGGCGAGTGGTTCGGGTTTGTCTCCCGGACTGACCTCAACAGTAGTCGCGCTTTTTTAATATCACTATAAATGACAATTTGAATCAATAATAAATTCATTGTAAAAATCAATATAATTTCATACCTGATATCTGCGCCATGGCTTGGAATCATTGACTGTAAATCAGTTAAGTATCCCTTCGGGTCGACGACCGTCTGACCGGTGACCGAATCGGATGCCTGATTGAGCTTCAGATCCATGAGAGTGTTCCTCGCCTGACCTATTTTACGCAAATCCAGATTCCCTGGAGTGACAAACCCTCCCGGAGTCATCAAACCCGTCGACGTGCCCGCAGTCATCGGTGTCTTAAGCCCTGTTCGCGGGTCAATGGAGACCACTGTCTCTCCGGAACCGATGGACGAGTTGTGCGCGAGTATAGAGTCGGGAACGGGAGTGAATTTCTCTGCGCGAGGATTTCTCATCTTCTTATTCCTGGCGTCGCCGACCTCTGGAATGGTTCGCCACTCGTCTTCTGTGACGGCATTCAAGTCTCTCTTCAGGTCAGAGAACTG